GGCGAGGGCGATGCTGCGGAGCTGCTGCCTGCGGCCGGGATGGGGGGGGGTACCGTGTGGTGTCCGGGCTTGGGGGAGGAAGGGGTTAACCGTGCATGCCCGGGGGTGCTGCCCTTCCTGGAAGGGAGTGGGGTAACCTCGGTTATGTGGGGGTGGATGCGACTCTCCGGGATATCAGGCTGCCACAGCCCCCAGCCCGTGCGCGCACCGCCCGCAGCCCAGGGGCTGCCTTCTCCGCATTGGCGGCGAGCGCTGCGAGGGAGCCGCGGTGAAACCCGAGCCGGGCCCGGCTGCCGCGTGGTTCGGGTCTGCGTGTGGGTTGCTTGTTTGTTTGCGTTTGCCATTTCCGGCCTGTTTGTGTCATGGAGCTCGATTAAAATCCTTTCTCTTCTGGGCGAGTCTTCCCTGGGGTGGGTAGGTCAGAGAGACACGGGGCCGAAGTGATCACCCCTCCCCCCTCCCCCCCACTTTTTCTTTTCTCACCCTCTTCTTGCTTCCTAAATACCCAGCCTGCCTCCTGCAAAGTGCGGGGGCAAAAGCTTTCAAGCAGCTTCTGTGGGGAGGAAGGTTCCATTAGTGCGCACTGCTAGAGCTGCCCAGCTGTTTTCCACCCCCTCCCCCGCCCTCCGACGAGGAAGCTGGATACATCCTGCAAATCCAGATTACACCCGTGGAAGTAAAGACACCTCATTTCCTTTTCAGGTATTACTGTTGGCTCTGAAATGCTAAAGTTGGGAATAGCTTTATAATTCAATCATCAGCTGGCTGCTGGTAGCTTTTCTGATCTCGGTCCCTGAGCCAAGCAAAGTTCTCACTCAGCCACTTATACACTCCTGGTACTGCCTGAATTCTCAATCATGATTTCTCTCACTCTCTCTGATTTTATTTTTCAGGGGGAGTCTGAATTTGTATCCTTTCTGTCTTTTGCTTTAGAGACTAAATTTTAAAATGACACATTTTAGTTTCAAGCTTCCCTGGTTGCCAGCAGGGAGTCTTGTAGAGCTTGGAGCCTTGTACAGTAAGTATACTGTCTGCTTGCCTCAGATTTCATTGCTAACCATGTTCTACAGCTTTAGTGGCAATAAAGGTTAGTTAAATGTGAGTTAATGGGTTTCTTGTTGTTTAGTCAGCTTTCTTCTGAAGTTGACAGCAAGGTGAGAGAAAATTCATGCCTATAAGGACAGTAATAATAATTTTATGTGGTGAAGTCCATAACCAGCTGGTATTTTAAAGAATATTTTTCTGTTGTGTTTCATTGGCTTTCTGTTCTTTGACTGACTATTACTGGTTTTGAAATGCGGCAAAGCGTGATTGAAGTAAATATCCGGCAAGGTAGAAATGTGCCCGAGTTAACACTGTTTTAAGTTCTAGTCTTCAGGCTCTACTTGTGCATTTGGTATCAACCATGTATTCTATGCCTATAATGCAGGTCATTCTAGGTGTTTCCAAGGTAGTTCAACCTCATGGGTTGCACAAATTTCTGGGGATTTTATTTGGGACTTCTGTCTTGGTGTCCCATCATTTTCTCAAGCCCTAAGTGCTAATGCGTTAAGCACTGCCTCTTTCTTTTTGACTGTGGTCCAGGTCTGCTCCCTCTCTAAAACAAACTGTGATCCTTTCCATTTGTTTTTTGTTAGTGACTTTAGGCAGATCATCCCCATTCATGCATCTGCCACAGCCCAACCAGGTTTCCAGATTGCATGCTCTAGAATTTGGCATAGGCATGGAGTTGTCGGTGTGCTCCTAGACAACATCATGCCCTTACAAGTTGGATCACAGGTGGGCATTGCTGGGAATTTGCAGTGCAGTGCCAGCTGCTTGCCCTGCTGTACATGGGTTTGAGATGCTCCTTGATCTTTCTAATAATAATATAGCCTGTCTGCATGCTTGCTTGCCTTCCTCCTCTAAAATAATCCAAGTAATCCTTAATACAGGGGGCACTGATAGCTAAAACAGGCTGTAGAATAAAGTGACTACAAGAATTTGAAGAAAGTGAAGTGAGGTGCAGGCCACTTCTACAGGTGCTTTGAACCCTGTGCTGAATTCATCATTGCTACATGTAATTTGTTAGGGATACATAGGTGTTGCTGTTCACTGTGCAATTTTATTTTTTTGTTTGTTATTGTGGAAGCAAACAGCAAAGATATCCCAAAACTTTGTTGCAGTGAAACAAAATACAAAATTGACTGTGCTTGGATATTTGGTAAAACTTAAGTAAGAAAGCTGCTCAAAAAAGAGAGCAAGCAGGGTAAGGATACAAGAAGGGAGAGGAAACACCATCTGCTGCAGCGGTGGCATTGATTTAGACAGGTGATGATATTGCTCCAGCACCTAGGGAGTGCCCTGTGCTTTAGAAGTGATTAGAGACAGGTCTGTGCCCTGAGGACCATTTTGCAGTGTTGAGTGAAAGCAGTGTGTGTACAGTGAATGTTTTGAAAGTTGCCCTGCCTGTTTTGTAAATGTTTCTTTTTCTGAAGCTGCAGCTGCTGAGAAATTCTGTCCTTTGAAATAAATTGCTTCCTCGTGCAATGAAATCTGACGGCATCATTGACAAAGGCACGACATGACATGCGAGGTGACTGTTAACAGTTCTGTGTGCAGTCGTGCTTAAAAACCGTGGAGGAGTAATTTCCATAAGCGATTGACTCGGGACTTTTAAAATGACAAGCCTTATTTTTTAATCATTTCTCTGTTCATGATTGGTTGAGCTGGGGGTGGGGGGCACTTGCCTAACTAAATCTGCAGGTAGACTTCTAAATTCTTAGTGTTTGTTCTTATTGATGTTTGTTTATATTTGATGTTCCTGGTCCCTCCTACATGTTGCTCAGTCAAGTTAGAGAGTACACATTCTGCTTCAAAGCTAATGAGTCTGTGGCCAAAGTTGTCCCAAGTTCACAGTAAATAGGGCCAAATGTTTTGGAAAGTGGCTGATAGCCACAAATTCCAGTGGCTTGGGTTTGCTGATTTTCAGGAATATTGAGCGTCTCTGTTCCAAGTGAAACCAAAGAAGGCAGTGAGTGCTGATTACCTCTGGAGAGACTTAATATTCCTAGTCAGGCAGCCGAAATCACTCTTTGAAAAACTGTCTCGTGGTTTTCCTGAGAATTGCATCTTCTCCCTTGGGACAAACTCCCAGTGATTTGCAGGGAGTAACACAGATATGGAGAACACAAGTGTTTTGTGGAAGAAGCTATTTAAAACCTGATTTCTGCTCATGAATGTCTTGTAATACCAGTTTACATCTGCATTGCTCTACAGATGCTTTGGGACTTATTGCTAAACATGATCCCAAATGAAAAGCCTCAGTATAAGTTAGCAGCTCAAGTCTAGCCCTGTGATACTCAACTTCAGACACTCT